AGAGAACTTCTATTCATGGAGATTCTTTCTGACAGTATATACTAGCTCATTTTATTTGACCTTAATATTGATATCTAATTTTCTCATCATTGATTTTAGGCATGCATCGAGATATATACATCTAGGAGGTCTTTTACCCTCATTTTTACTACTCTTTGTCGTCTTAGATGGCCAGTTCATCTTTATCTGGTACAATACCCTAAACCCAAACCCTTGTTTTCAATCCTCATGCATTCTCTCTTTTGTTTATATCAGCAGATATTGTGCAAAAACGTCGGAGAGAAGAGGAGAACGCAATTTTCAGTCACTCACGAGGAGGACTGAATGGAATTGGGAAGGAAGAGTATCAGAAACCTTATTAAGCTTTACAAGACTGATTTTTATTGGTAATTTCTTGCTCTCTATGACTCTATATCTAAAGGTGTTCCCTCTTTCAAAAAAAAAAAATATGATTGAAAGAGAGAGAAACAAAAAGCCTAATAAGTCTTAGATTATCAAAATTTTTGGAGCCAAAAGCAACCACTATTCGTTTGAAGAGCTATGGTTTTGAAAGGTTTACAAAAATCTAAGTCTGGGGGAGTTAGGAGAGAACCTGAGGAAGAAGACCATAAATCTATGGCAAGAAGAAAGTGACTGAAAACTGTGGATATCAATAGCTTCACTCTCTCTTGCGGTTTTGCATAATATCTTGCATCCTCCAGATCTTTAGGTAATCCATAAACACTTTAAGCCTTACCCCTAGAATAACCCTTTTGACACCTAGCCTAGATTGCCTTGCTTATACTTTCTTTGATGAGAACCACCAAAATTTTTAATGAATGTTAAGAGCTAGTTGACCAGAAGTTAGATCTTAGTGCAATAGATTTCCGCATGACGGATTAACGGACTAGTTATGCCCGTATTACTAGTGAGAATTTTCTAGGCTACTCCCGATTGATGCATAATGATTGATATTGGTCTAGAAGCTTGGTCTCTGAGATTTTGTTTAGTTCCTGCGTTTTCAATCCTCTCACCGACATTTGGCCTTTATTTTGTTTGAGGACAAGCAAAAGACTAAGTCTGAGGGAGTTAATAACACCGGATTTTGACCATTTTTATAGATCACTTTAATGTTTTTTACGAGTGTTTTTACTCCATTTTCAAAGGTTTTCAAAGGATTTCTATGTTTTCGGATTTTAAAAGACTTTTCAGGTAATTTGGGATAAATAGGCACAAATTGGAACAAAAAGACTATTTTGGATAAATGCAGACTGTCAGAACTCTCATGGAGAGACGAAGACCTTCTCACTGTCTGATCACCCTCAAATTGGCTTATAGAAGAATCAACCAGCTTTCAAATGCACTTGGTTTGGAGACATTCCAACGGTTGGATCTCAAGATATTCCATTTGCCCCGGAGACACTCGAAGACGGCCAGCAAGTCACGCGACCGCGGCCACCAACCTATCCACTGCGGTCACAAGCTTCACGACCGTGGCCAGACTTCTATTTCCCGCGGCAACGTTACTCCCGACCACGGCCGACCAACTCCGATTAAAAGCCCATATTTCTAAAGCCCAAAGTCATATCTCTGCCTCAATTCTGGAACTCTAGAGACCATGGAGTGTTGAAGACTATAAATACTTCTCATTTAGGTCGTTTTTAGACAACACCTCCATACTTTTACAAAACCCTTTTTTCCTTCGGCCGTTTTATGCGATTTTTAGAGAAAATTGTTTAACTCCGAGTTCTTCTATAGAGAAGCTTTCTTTCATCTCTTTTCTTTACTTTTTTTTATTGCTTTAATTAAAACCAATGATGATGTCGACCTCAGCCATTTCTGAGTAGATCCTGAGTTGGGCTTAGGGTTCCCGAAAGGGGCTCTCATAATCGATTAAGACATCTAGGTTTATAGATCTGGGATTTTAACTTTGTTCTCTGTTTATTCTCGTTCTTATTGCATGTATGCTTGATTGATCACCTCGTATCTGATCTAGATAGTTAGTGTTGCGAAAGTTTTCATTACGTATCAGACCTAGAATGAAACAGGCAATTTTTCTATACGAGTGGAAACCTACCTGCGGCAAAATCGTGCGTATTGACGAGTCATGTGCAGCTCTTGCGTTCTCTCCCTTCTAGGGCCAGAGTGGAAACCTACTGGTTAGGGTTGCGAGAAATAATTGGTTATGATCACGACAGTGACGTAGTCATACCGCCGTACTCTAGCTCTAGAACCCTATATTTCGATATCCGTTTATCCCAATCTATAATCCCTTGTGTTGAAACCGATTATGATCCCTGTAGAGCTCCCAAAAGCACAGCGTTTTTAGCCATAGTTTACAAACCAATCAATTTTTACTAGCTCATTTAGATCTGCATTTCATTTGCTTTAGTTAGATATTCTGCTTGCTTCAATTGCCTGTCATTCGATTTTTTATTTGCTCTTTATGATAGATTTATTTGCTTTCTTTAGTTTCAATTAATCCGTGACAAACAACCAACCTATAAAACCAATCTAGTCTAGACATAAAGTTAGAAACCGTAGAAGAATACCAGACATACAAATCTCTGTGGATTCGATCCCTAAGCACTGCAATTGATTAGCTGTGCACTTGCGGCTTTCATTTGTTTTTATTAAGGATAAAACTTGTTCCCTCTCGCAGTAGTATTGCAGGGGTCGAACCACAAAGACAAAGAAATTCGCTCAATAAACCAATTAGACTTAAATCACGCTAAGCAAACACAATAACATTAAAAACAAAAATGCAATAAGAATGGTTGTAAATTCGATGGAAAAGAATTAGGCTCAGGGTGTTTCTCAGGAAATCAGAGAATGCAGATTAATCGATAAATCAGAGTTCAGGGTTATGCACAATTCTTAAACTCAAATCACGAAATTATAATTAACCAACTTTCGTTGTGAGAATTATCTAAGTCTAAATCTCAGAATTCCAAATTCCTTTGCAAATCCTAAAGACATAAACCAGCTTTACTGCCCAAGTTCAATATGTTCACAAAGTATCTAAACCAAATTCCTTTGCGAATAGCTACTATGCTCACCCTAGGTTTTTTCTAGTTATTCAATTACACTTCCGTGTCAATCAATTAACCTAAGATCTAAGTTCTAGGTGGCCAGTCCAAAATTAGCTTTAAGAATAACCTATGGTGAAGAATTAAATAGATTATGAACCATAACTAATCAATCAATCCAAAATTCAAAGAAAACCTTTATGAGAACCCTAAACCTAACAAGCAAACTACTCAGACATGGAGATTGAAAACTTGATTGAATAGTTGATTGAATAGATTGCATAAAAGAACTAAATAGATTAAGAAAAGGGGTTCAAAATCTTCTCCAATGAACAGAGTCTCAGACTTGTCTCCCCAAAAGCTCTCTCCAAATCTCTTATCCAAGTATGAAAGATAAAATAAAGCTTATGCCAAAACAGGTGGCTTGATAACACCGTATTTTGACCACTTTTATGGATCATAATTATGTCTTATGCAGGTGTTTTAACTCTGTTTTCAATGTTTTTAAAGTGTTTTCAATGTTTTAGAGTTTCAAAAGACTTTACAGAAAATTTGGGCAAAAGATATGCAATTTGGAACAAATGAGCAATTTTGGATAAATGCAGACCGTCAGAAGTATGACAAGCGATGAAGACCCTCTCACCGTCTGATCACCCCCAAAATTTGAAAAAACATAGAGGATCCAACCAGCTTTCTAATGCACTTAGTTTGGAGACAATCCAACGGTTAGATCTTTAGATACTCCCGATGCAAGAATGACAGAAAATGCAGTTCCGGAAGAGAGCATGCGCCGGGACCGCGGCCAACACCCATTTTCCCGCGGGTAGAGCCACCGCGACCGCGGACTTTGGTCGTTCACTTTCCCGACGACTTAATTAAAGCCCAGATCAATTCCTTTCGTTATTTTTGAAGCCCTAAGTGTCCAGAACCACCCCAGAAGCTATAAATACCCCCTTTAGGTCATTCCTAAAGGTGTGGAGAAGACATAAGATAAAAATAGAGAGAGAATTCGTGTGGGTGCTTCACAAACCCTAGAGAAGCCGCCGCTTGAAGGAGGAGCCGCCGCAGAGGAGAGCATCATCGCGCCTCCGTTGTCGCTTCCGTTCTTCGTTCTTCTTCCTTCTTTTCTTTAATTTCCTGCAACTTTCAATACTCTGTGATGATTGTTTACAATATGTTTGAGTAGTTACCCAGTTGGGTTTAAAGGGATTTTTCAAAGGGAATTTCATGTGTCTTTGCTTATGAATCGATAGATTTAGGATTTATAATCTTCTAGATGTTCTTCGTTTGCCTTTAATCTTACTGCGTGATTCTTTGCTGGCCACTTAGAAGCCGATCTGATATGATATGTTGCGAAAGCTTTCATTGATTGTCTGAACTAGGGTGAAACGAGCAATTCTTCTATAGGAGTGGAAACCTACCTGTAGTTGGGTTGTGAATATTGATGAGTCTTGTTCTGCTATTGCATCTTCTCCCTTCCAAAATCAGAGTGGAAACCTACTGATTAGGGTTGCGAGAGATAGTTGTTTAGTGCTGCGAAAGTAGGCTATTCATACTTCCGTGCCTCGAGTTCTAGAACATACGTAGTTGATTACCTTTATCACTTGTTTAAAATCGACTTAGCTTAGTTCATGAACCCCTGCGAATTCCCCTTGAGCCCCAACGTTTGTCTTTTATTGCTTACAACCTTCAATTTCATCTGCTTTTTAATCGCTATTTATCTGCTTTTCATTCGCTTGTTCTTTGCTTCAAATCGCCTCTTGTTTAATCGCTTTCTATTTGCTTTCACTTGCTTTCATTTTTATTTGCTTTTTACTTGCTTTCTAGTTTAGATTTAGTGACAACCAAAAACCCAAAACCAAAACCAAAACCCTTTTAGTTCTAATCTGATTTAAGCGTTGCAGTGAATTCGTACTGGAACAACTAAGTCTCTGTGGATCGATACCCTAAGTACTACAGCGCACATATGTGCACTTGCAGACATTTAGGGGTTATAAATTTAAAACCTGAAGCTTAGTAAAACGAAAACAACCAACCCCGTGTTTACACGCTCATCATGGCTGAAAACCCTAATAAATACTAAAAACACGTGTTGGGCTTCCTTGTAAATATTGGAGATTTCTGGGCCCAAGAGATTCTTCAAAACTGAGACAAAATCACGTTTTTCTTATTTCTGCGATCGGTGTCGAGCGTCACTCTCCATGGTGTCAAGCGACACTAAAGCACATAATTCATGCTTCACAAATTTGATCCCTGTTTTGCTCCAAAGTGCTCCAAAGTGATCCAAAATCTCCAATTAAGCTCCACACGGACCTAAGACCTGTAAAGACTCCAAAAGACTCTAAAACACTAAAAAAACTCTATAAATAAGACCTATATCATGGTCAAAAACCATAAAAACCATTATATCAACTCCCCCAGACTTAGCATTTGCTTGCCCTCAAGCAAACAGAATACCAAGCAAGAGAAAGAGATTTGAAAAACACGGAGATTCAACTTTTCAATGGAACATCGCTTTGACCGATCACCTTATAATCCACATGCTGCTTCATCATTCCAAATTGAACCACCATGTAGTTCTCCGCAGACATTCACAGCCTCTCAGATTAAATCCAAAATCTACACCATTGTCCATAAACCCTCATCGCTGGGTCTCATCAATGATTCTAGTGCCAAGAACCTTCTAGACTCTTTCCCGTACTATACTTTGACAAATCAGCCATACAAATTTTGGTACTTCTTCTCTTCCCCCAGACTTATTCTTTTCACACTCTCATCTTTTATGGCATACACGGTAAGGTTAAAGATGCGAGTATTGATGGTGTTTGCCATCGAATCCCCGATTTGTCCCCTTAGTATGTATCAATTGTTTTCAGCGAATAATGGGGTCATAGGAAACTTTTCTACCCCTCGCTTCCTTTCTTTGTGTGATCATTCATTCTTAAAAGTAAAATAATGAGATCATTGGAAATTTTCCTAGCCCTTTACTCCTAGAAGAAAATCATCTCAATCTTTTCGCCTTTTTCATTCTTTTTATACTGAACATAAGGGAGCAAAGCACCAACTTTAGATCTCACACAGGCTTTCATTTGTCAAGTATGAATGAGGAATCAAACTCTATGAACATCAGTCACATCAATGAGGTAAAAGAAAGAGTTCAGAAATTAGCTTAGGTTAGTAGACTTTGTTGGAAACATGGACGCCTCTAGTCAACTGATCAACCTTTGGATATTTCATTAGTCAGATCTAGACTGATTCTGCAGTAATGGTCACTTAGATGATAGGTCAGAACAACAATCCAAGAAAAGCATCATAATCTCCAACAGGTTTTGACTCAAAAACAATTTGACACAACTGACTCTTAAGAAAAAACAAACAAAATAACAGCGACCACTTCCCCCAGACTTAAACAACACTGTCCCCAATGTTATCAAGACTAAGGTTGGTGAAACAAAAGAAAATAAATAAAGAAACAAGTAAAAATGGAGAACTTACCTGGCTGCGATGATGGCGTCGACCGACACTGATGATGGTGTAGTGTGACACTCGTTCTCTTTGTACTGAATTGCAGCAAACCCATCCAAATTTCTGCTTTGACTCCGGTTTCCTGATTACTTTATTTTTTTTTATTTTTTTGAACAGAAACAAGTGACAGGCGACATCGATGGTGGTGTCGCTCGACACCAGCCTCTATTTCACCTATTGAAGCTGAACCGGATCTGACCGAGCCCCAACTCCTTGACATTGAGGTCTCAACGATGCATGAAGGACCAATAACCAGGGCCAGAGCAAGGATACTACAACACAAATACAATCAAAGCATACAAGCCGCAACTAAAGAGATAACAAAGGAAGATCAAGTGCAACTAGAAGAAAGCCCAAAGGAAATGGATCATTGTCTACACGTTTGGACCAAGACATTTCAAGATCCTCCATCAAGCAGCCCAAAGAGTCAAGAGTGTTGGCCTCTTTTGAAAAGACAAGCCCAAGTTCAAGTACTCACCATTTCGAGAATGAATCAAGACGCCTAGAGGGGAGCATTCAAGCGTGGTCAAAGACAAGATTGGAGATGAGTTAATCATGGTCCCAAATAAGGTAAGTCTTTCAATTAATTTGACTAATGAATTTCATTGTCTTTGTTGTGTTTCAGCCGCAAGAATTTAGTCCAGACTTTAGCTTATTAGTTTGAATTTTCTTTATAGTTTTCCTTGTTTATTTACCTTTGATGTTGCACTTTTCCTTTTCAAGTCCTGTCGCATTTAGTCTTTTTTTTTCTTTTGAGTCTAAGCCGCTTGGACATTATATAAGTCCCTTTACGGCCGTGTAATCTTTTGAACTTTGATCAATAAAATCGAACTTTTCTTTCAAGCTTTTCTCAGCAAAGAAAAACTTGTTAAATCTCTTTGTTCTAGTCGAAACCAGTTCCTCCTAAGCCAAAGATCTCTTGTGTTTTATCACAAGCCTTTCACAGCTTGTGTGGTGCACCTCATTCCATTGTTACTTAACCGATCCTCCACTCGATTTCCTGGTTAGAGAAGCTCAACCATTAAATCAACCCTTGGCCGTTAGACCAAGCTTTGTGTTCCGAGATCATGCAAGCCTTGAGATAACCCTGAGCTTGTATCAAAAACTCTATTAATAAAATCTATATCATGGGCAAAAACCATAAAAACCATGATATATTAGAAAGTAATTACCTCATCATCAGTCAAAGAAACAAACTAGTAGAAGAACCAAATCCAAGTAATTTCGAGCCTGAAACATCGAATCCATTCATCAGTAGAAAGAAACACGAAAAACTCTTATTTGGTTTCTAATTTTGGTTTCTTAAACACGAGAAACACGATATACACAAAAAGACGAGTCCGTTCACCAAATCAATTTCTCATATAAGATTCCCCAAGAAATTCAGTTTCGTTTCTCATATATGATTCCCCAAGTAAAAGAATTCATTTAACAAAATCAGTCAAATTGAAAAAATTTTGCAGAGATTACCTGGGTTTTCCTTCGCACCATCACCCTCTACCCAGAAAATCGCAGATATTCCTCCCATCAAAGCAACGAACCGATTCGATTCGACATGCATGGATGACTCGAAGGATACATCTCTCAATTGCAAATTGAATCGCAGGATAAAGATAGAGTTTGGGAAAAAAATTTGTCGAGGGAGAAGAGAGAGAGTTTTGGTGTAAAAAATAAAAATTAATATTAAATTGTCCCAACCAATGAAAGCTTGCCACGTTAGCGGTGTTTAAGGTTGCTAAAAACGCTTACAGAAGTACCGATGCTTCTCATTTAACCCATTTAAAATTTATTTGTATTCCCATTATTTGTTAAGAACCTGCCTTTGGAGATATTTCTTTTTAAGACCATGACTAATAGGGTCTCTTAAGAGAGTTTCTTAGTTAGAATTAAAAGTAATATAAATTAATGCTTTATGTTAAGAGTTGTATTTTATTTAAGAACTTTAAGATATGGTTCTTAAGAATCTCGTGGCTTCGTGTGATTGGAGTAAACAATTCTGGAAAAACTTTAAGGGGCCAAAATTTTCTCAACCAAATTTTTCATTCCTTCATATTTTTTCTTCCTTCGATCTTTTGTCTCGACCAAAATTTTTTTCATTCTTTTTATTTTCCTAGACTCTTCCTTGTTTTTTCTCCATCGCATTCGAGGAGTCGTGATGTTGTAGGGTTTCTTCCTTCCTCTGGCCAAATCTCCGATTATCTTCTCCTTGCTTCTCCCCAGAAGGTAATCATGGACGCCGTGACGGCCAATTTGGTTCAATCTCCAGCCTTTATCCGTTGAACCTCCGAAAATGTCTCTGGCTCGATTTTCCTTACGGCAAGCTATCCTGGGTTCATGGGATTCGGCGGCTAATTCACTTAACCTTGATTCTTGAATGAGATTGAATTTATTTGTTTTGCACAATCTCGTGGTGTTGTGGTGCTTAATCTACTTGGAAACGCCTCATAATCGAGTTTTCTGATATTCGATTTTAACATTCCGTATCAGTTAGAATGGTTTAATTAAAATCCGTTGTTTATGCTTTCAACACAATTCTTCTCTTATTTTCGAGACCATTGCAAAGCCGTACAGCTTCTGGTAAGTCTCAGAAAAGTCTTGTGATCAAAGCTTCAGCTTCTGGTGATGCTTTAACGGATTTAATTGCGCCACTTGAGTTGAAGTCTCCGGTAGGGCAGTTTCTGTCACAGATATTAGTGAGCCATCCTCATCTTGTGCCAGCAGCTGTTGAACAACTTCAAACTGATTGAGAAGCTGAGGAACAGAACAAAGATATCTTCTGTCCCTGGAACATATATTGTTCTCTACAAGTTTGGTTTTATATGCTGATTATTATTATAAACCTTTCAGTTGCTGTATAGATTTTGGATTTTTTAATTAGATTGCTTCTTCGGGTGTTTAAGAGAATAACTGAGATTTTAGTTTGAGACCTATGCTTTGCAATTGCATTATGACTTGGTTGGGTTTGAATTCTGAACACAACTAATACAGGGGTAGACATTGCTACTTGTTAGAGTTGAAAAGGTTTATTGAATAGTAATATTACCGTTTCTTTTGATCTACCATTAGAATTTAACATTGGTGAATTGCTTATGTTTTGTCAATATTTCTCTTGCTTCTTGGATTTTTTTTTTTTTTGAAGTTCTGTTAAATGTTTTTTTAAGAACTTTATGGGGTTCTATCATTGGACCCTATAAAATTAAAAGCCTCTTAACAAAGTTTCTTAAACCAAATTACTAATAAAAAATAGCTAAGAACCCCATTAAAGTCTTTTACATTAATCGGGCGTCTGTTAATGAATTTTTAAGAATTTTTGGCCCAAAAAAAAGAAAAAATCCAATATTTATTAAGGACGTTTCTTATTTGAAGACTTTAAGAGACCTCTGAATGCCACATGTCTTCTTTTTATTGGGGTTTGTTAATGGCAAACAAGTTCTCTCTATTATTTTTTGCTTTTTTTTTCTCTTTCATTCTCCTCCTTTTATCTATTTTAATTTTTTTCTTCGATTTCTCTATTTTTCTTTTTAAAGTTTTAATATTAAAATATGTTTTAAAAATCTTAGTGGGGTTTTACCAATAAACATGGTCTAAGGCAATAAAGCATCAAATATGTGATATGTACTTTACTTCATAAATGTATACTATAGTCATTCCACATTGACTTTAATTAACTATATACAAATGGTGTGATTAAGTTAAAATCTACTTTGTTTTGTAATGTGTTTTTTTTATATTATAATTGTTAAATTTAAATAATATCATAATGTATGGAAGTTTTGAAAGAAAAAAAATAATCGGTCAATTTTTAAAATTTATAAATAAAGTATATTAATGGCTCTTGATTTCACCTTGATCTCCACAAACTTTTGATTGTTTCATGGTTTTGTTCTCATATTTTTTAGCTGGAAACAGTGAATACATAACTAGAAACATCTCGTACTTGGAAAATCGAAAAACTTTTTATTAACCAAGCATCCCTGATCCCTCTATGATCAAGGAAAGAACATCTGATGCCGTTGTATCCTTGTCACTAAGTCATCTTTGATTGCTGCAAAGATCAAGACCACAAAAACCATTATAGATGTAGTACATCCAGCAGACTCTAAGTAAAGAAAGAAACAATAATGATGAAGAGGATAGTTCAGAAGAGAGTTTTATGATGAAGATGACCAGGTGCCTTGGAGTGACAGAGATTATTAGCAAATTCAGCGAGTGGATGAAGTGTGAATATGACATGTTTTCTTGTAGTGGGATTCTTTGATAAATTCTTGCCAACGAAAAGGAAACTTATATACCTTCGATAAACCCTAAGTGAAGTCTCCAAAGGAACACCTACCTGACTCATGGAGAGTAAAGGATGATAGTGATGTATTGCTTGCCTTTGATAGGGGTATCTATTTTATTGGGTTTAATGTCCAACTCTCCAATTAATATGATATTGTCCGTTTTGGGCCCAACTGGCAAAGTCCGCACGGATTTAGTTTTGGGCTTATTCCCAAAAGGCCTCATACTAATTGGAGTTGGACATTACTTATATACTAGACCATATTAGTCCAAACTTCCGATGTGGGACTTTGGATTGATTTCCAACAATCTCCCCCTCAAGCCAAAGACCTTATAACTCTTGATCTCCAACCTACAGCGATACTTAGTACCATCTTGTACTTACGACTTAGTACCATCTTGTACTTCTTAATCGCAAGGTCACCTTGAGGGTTTCTCCTCCCACAACGAACATTCAGTCCAAAGCCGCACGGATTTGATTTTGGGTTCTTTCCAAAAAGGCCTCATACTAATTGGAGTTGGACATTACTTATATACTAGACCATATTAGTCTAAACTTCCGATATGGAACTTTGGATTGATTTCCAACAGTCTCAACGCTAAACAAAAAAAAAACTAATAAATTTAAATTTATGGGGGATGTTATATACTCGACGAGCTTCTTGCTAAGGATATTCACAATGACACATGAACTTTCGTAATATTATATCGAGGTAATTCCATATTATATCTAATATCTATTAATATTTTTTTTTTTTATTTGGTGAATACAGTTGAAGTCACAGGCTTCTAAAGAATGTACCTGGTATTCACCACTTAACCTTAATGCCAAAATTTGATGAATATAAATATTTTAAAACTAAATTTAACTATCTAACAACTATACATCGCTTAGAATTTGTTAAACGGTTTAAATCTGCTGTCATGCTAAAAAAAATAGTGAATATGTTTCTATTTTGAAATTTCCTGCTAGCAAAACTGAAAATCCACAAAATGATATATTAATAGCAACAAAAACCTGTATATATGCGCCATGCACTGGCCTTCTTTATTTAGAAGCAACTCCTTAGGTATAAATGAGAAAACACATGTTGATCATTGCTCATTCAATTTACAAAATATATACAGAAAAAGCAGAAAGAGAAATCAAATTAAACTTAAAAAAAAAAACAATGGCTGCATACAAGAAGAGCCTTACTGTTCTTTTATTTGTAACGATTATACTATCAATGTTTTGTGGAAACGGAGAAGCAAGAAAATGGTTAGGTTATGGAGCTATGGGAAAAGACAAAATTCCGGCATGTGGCTCTAAAAACCCAAGTGAATGTATTAAAAATCCGGTTAACCATTACTATAGTGGCTGTGAGGGTTTTGAACATTGCCGTCATGTACCGCCTCGTGTATAAATATGACTAATTCTTTATATTTTATCATCGATTCAAAAGTGTTATTTTTTATTTATTTACGAAACTATAAACTTATGTGTTATTATGTATTACTGAAACATTTTGTACGTGGTTATCTTTATTGCTTCAGTAAAAATAAATAATCTGTATTTTGACATTTCGTTTTTGGAATCCGAATTTGTTTGAATTAATTGGTTAACTACGTTATTTATAAAACTAGGGTTGAGTCCGCGCTTCGCGCGAATTTTATTTTATGTTTGTGTTTTTATATGGTTTATATATTATTTTATAAAAAACACAATGTGTTCTGTTAGTTATCATTATTAGTGTTTCTATATAACAATAAATTTCTCTTAATTATTATTTTTATTAATTTCTATTAATATTTCTATATATATATATATATTAACTTCTAGATTTATTTATAATCTACGTGTTGTGCAAAATTTTATTTTTAAACAGTTAATTCATCATATTTGTCTTTTAATTTTTTATTAGACTCATTATTCATTTTTATATTATCATTGTTTGTTAGTTTCATTTTTGTTCTTCTTTCTGATTTTCAACATTTTTTTCTTGTATTTTTTGAAATTCCTTTTTAATAGGGTTGGGCATAAATACTTGTTACTCGGCTTGTACTCGTTACTTGCCTCGTACTTTGATTGAAAAACTAAGTACTTGAACTTGTTAAGACAAGTACTAAGTTGTGAATTTTTATTATTTGCAAGTACAAGTCAAGTACCAAGTAATAAAAAAAATTTATCTACCCAGCTTGTATTACTTGTTACTCGTTTTTATATAGGACAAATTGATCATTTATTAATTTTCCTTTGTCCCACATCGATAAAGAGCTCTGGGACAGATTAAAAATATTTCTATATAATGAGGATATGCATATATTATCCCCTTATAGTATTGGGCTTCATCACTTAAGGGACTTTTGATAACCATTTATTGGACTTTTACT